CGGACAATCACTCATATGATAAGCTCCGCTCGACAAAGTCGACAGCGGAGCTAAAAATTCATGCATGCACATATACATGTTTAGGAACAATTACAAAAGGATTCTATTTTTATAATATTTACTTTTATTAGTTTGACATAAAATATATTATTAATATTAAAATAGAAAACGAATGCCAATTTGTTTTGTCTGTGTGCATTGCAGACGCAACATCTGAGATTGCATCTTAAATAATTGGTATAACAAAGAGTTATTTCAGATTTCCTTACTTATGACACAGAATCTTCATTTCATGTCATTGGTTTGTCCCTAAAGCCCAATAATGCTAAATCAGCAAATTACTTCAAGCAATGCATTATGCAGGTGTAAATTGCTGTGGTCTTCATCTAATATACATATACATGTATGAATCAATCAGGTTTATTTGAAGGATAATTCAGTTCTCAGGAGGAAAAAAACAGACTAAATTGGTAGGGATTTATAGGTGTTCTAATATTCTCTGTGTAATATTTTCAGTATTAAATTTTTGTTTTTTCTCCCCAGAGATATAAGCAGCGGCATAGTGCGGGGTACATTATGGTATATTTTGCAGGCACAAAGCCACTTAAACCATGCTAATATGAACTAAATATATCCTAGAACACACTGAGCTTATAAAAAAAAAAAACGCCTATTCACTGATTTCTAATTACCTGTCTAAAAATCTGCTGAAGCATATTGCTTATTTGATGTACATTGAGACAAATCCGTGAAACTATGGTAATACTATGGGTATTCTAGCTGGGAATTGTTTTTTGCTGAAAGACACAAATTATGTTCATAATAATTTGTCGACAACTGTACTTTCACACGATTTTATTTTTGTTGATGTAAACACTAACTTTACAGTAATTGACTGTGTGATAGCAGTTGAAGTGCTACAGTCATCACGTCGCAAGTGTTATGATTTCGAGTAAGCAAGCAAAGTATTTTACACGCATTGTATACTTCGCTATGGGACCCATAACAACATGACACTGTGCAACGACTGTATATTTAACATATGAAAGCTTATTTATTCACTGTATTTTATTTTTGGCTATATAGATAAAGTAAAAACGTGCTAAATTAAAAGTTAACCATAGTATGTTTTCTTCATGAACCAGTGAATTTAAAGCTTAGAGAATATCCATGCAGCATCAGAATATTTAAACCTAGTGCCTGCAACATTAAATCTAAAATTAAACCCAGTGAATTTTTCACTCTCTGCAGTAATGTCAGCGGTATGAGTTGTCACTGTCATCAATAACACACGGCTGAATTGATCAAATGCTTGGGAAAGTGGTTAAGCATGTACACTGGCTGGCTAAACACGATAAAGACTGTTTTATTGAGCTTTGAATATCTCACTCACTTTTACGATGTTTTAAACATCAATTAATTTAAATTCTATATAAGATTTTAAAAGGGGACACATTTTTTTTGCCAACTTTGTCATTATGTGATTAAATATGTAGTAAACAATACACAATAAACAATAAACAAATTAACAAAAATGTAATGGGCTTTTAAATCCAGTGAGACGTATCAATTGTGCGAGGTGAAAAGGTGAAGCGAGTACTCACTGTCAGTAAAGCAGAAGAAGAAAAACATACTTACCATAATAGCAATGTAATGTCTATAGTCATATGGTAGAGGACCATCTCCACGCAGCATGAAATTCTGTGTTCTAAAAAAATGTTCAAGATACTGTGGATGGAATCCCATCACTTGGGTGATATGATCCAACCGACTGGTCTGTAGGAAGACATCGATGAACATCTTGTTCTTCTGTTTAAATTGAGAACATTGACACATTTAGAATTTTGAACAAGAAATGCCTGTCTGGGAATATACAAGGAAAGAAACAAATCCAAGCTGCTGCCAAGTACGTCCATCCGCTGGAGTTTTTACAATGTTTAACTGAGGGTTTTACCCCTTCTTGATTACATGCACCTTTTACGAAACATTCACAGACGCCAATACTTTCTAAGTGGCTGCCCTAGCTAGAACCGATTTATGAACATAAAAAACATCAGCTGATGTGAGCATGAATAAGTAGATAATACCACTATTTATGAAAGGGGTGGGCAGGGTCTAAAAATGAGGGGAACAGAATGAGAACAATGTGTCATTTATGAGCTGAAGTGACACAGACTGTATTTGCCCTTTTTAGAAAATGGCTTTAATTTATAAAAATTATAATTATGTGAAAAGTATTGAACTCTTTTCACTCGCGGGACAGACAGGAAGGTGAACTCACAAGAACATTAAAATTATATTTATTTGTTAATTAGGTAAAACCACTAGCAACAGAAAGAATAAAGCATGATTAATGAAACTTGAAATGCATCTACAAAATTGTCGTCTTTAGATGAAGACACATTGAATGTAATAAATTAAAACCATCAAAGTCAGGGAGAGATTTAAGTGCCTTGACACACATACAATTATAATTAGCATACAATGGAATGTTTTATTTTCATTATTTATATTAAAATGAGATGCAATTATATGAATTGCCATGCATTATTCATCCTGATTAAATAACACAAAACATAAGTTGGTCCAGGGACTATCAGTGCACAGCTGGCTGGTACCAAGTATGGATTTGATAATGCTGGTGGCAGGCAGTGATCAAAATAGAGGGGAGGGTGATGTTCCTAACTTGGCTCTCTACATCACAAGAGATCTTTTTTTCTGCACAAATACTTTCAACAGACCTATCACTAGCTTTATCCTCATCATCATTTCTCTCATTTTCTATCTCCCGTCGAACATTGTACTCCTGTCTTGTTTTGAATTTACAACAATTTGTACATGTCTGAGCTTTCTTTCACTGGTTCCAAAATATTTGTAGTACCCCTAACTGGATCCCAAACTCCCAACTCCTTGTGGCTGGAGCATACAAATTGTGACTCAATGCAACTAAAATACACAAGCAGCCTGTCGGCTGAGATAGCTCCGCTGTTAGCAATGCACATGGCAGTTAAAGAACAGAAGATATCATTAGAAAATGAACAAATCTGAGCGAGTTCCACATGTAGTACCTATATATGTAATATCAAAGCAATTGAACTTGCGGTTTTCAACAAGAAGTTGAAAATATCACTTTTTACCAAAAATTACAAAAATATTCACCAAAATTAGAGAATTGAAGATATCATTATGAAATGAACAAATCTGAGAGAGGTCCACGTGTAGAAGCTATATATATAATATCAAAGCAATTGGACTTGCAGTTTTCAACAAGAAGTCGAAAATATCACTTTTTAGCAAAAATGACAAAAATATTCACCAAAATTAGAGAATAGAAGATATCATCATGAAATGAACAAATCTGAGAGAGGTCTACCCAAGGTACATATACACCAAGTATCAAAGCATTCAGGCTTGTAGTTTTCAAGAAGAAGTCGAAAAAGTAAAACATTGACACGGACAATCACTCATATGATAAGCTCCGCTCGACAAAGTCGACAGCGGAGCTAAAAATTAGTACTGTTACTATCTCCACCAGACTAGTAGAAGCTGATCACATGTATTCCCTGTCCCAGATATTAGAAACCTGGGATAGCTGACCCAAATTATCTCACTTTCAGTTAAACAACATTAACATACATTACAATAGCTGTTCTAGTTTCCTCATGAGCTATTATAGGATTCCAATAAAAGCAATTGAAATTAATAACACCTTCTGATGGAACATTCTAGAATACAGTGAACATGTTAATAAAACTAATGGAGGTGGTTGAAGATAAAAATATAATTTTAAATTGCAAAATGCATGACTTATTTTGAGAGATATTAGTACGATTTATTGACTTGGTCCATCACACCACACCATGTTTGGAAAACAACTTCCAAAAGATGATGCAATTTCAACAGCTATAAAGGTCAGGACTGAAAAAACACTCCTGAAAGATGATGAAATCTCAATGGACAAAATCGGGTATGGACAGGTTTTACAGGAAGTTCTGAATAATCTCAGTCACGTTCAACAGAGTTGTGTACTGAAAAACAATGATAAGGGGGGAAGTGGTATCTGGGAGTGTTTGTTTCTTATGCTAATAACAATGTATATGACAACTGACACGTAGTACAAAATTTATCTAAACTCCTTGAACAATTTTAAAATAGCACAGGTTTAAAGCAAGACCATATACCCTCAGTTAAGCATACGAAAAATTGACAGACGAAGAAGAATGTGAAATCATTTAGGGTAATACAAGTTTATCCAATATATACAATGAGATTTTATCTCCCAGAATGCACTGCATATATGTTAATTTGAATTTGTCCCAAACTACCTTAATTTCCAACACTCTCATCACCTGTTGTTCATTTAATAATCTCACTGACAATTTACTTTACAAATTAATAATCATGCTTTCTACGAAATACCATGGTGCATTCCAATAATTGACAGGACGAAAACAAGTCTGAAATTCAATATGAAGTGGGATGCATTTCAGCCAAATTGAACACCAGTGATCAAATAAAGGTTACACACTAAGATTAATTATTACCATACTATTGTGTTGATTATACAGAGCATATTATCCCCTGTTGCTAACTATTGACTAAAGCATGCAAGGCCTGTTTTGATTGTATCAAAACAATTATCCACAAGAAAGCTTAGAAAGAACTCCTGTGTGCTGAAAAGTATTGGAGACACATTGAAACTGATTCAAAATTTAAGATTTGCTTTTCAAATGAGAACTTGAACTTGAAAACAATGTGATTCACAGTATCAAAATGTATAATACATACAGAAAATACATTTGAATTTTCATCCATGGTTTTTAGTCTAATTCCAGAGCATCTCTGTGATGAATTCAATTTAAATCTGATTTTTTTATATATCAGAAATTGGCTAATAATAGATAATCAATATGCGTGTTTATCAACATTAAACTAATAATGTCCGCTGTGGATTACCTCAATGAACCAAATGAATTATTATACAAATTAAGCAATTATTATGCATAGATTTAGGTCTGCATATTGTTTGAGGGCGCCAAACAAATATGAATTATTATTATTATTATGCAAATTAGGTAATTAATATGATCTGAAAACTGAGCAGGGATGTGCATTGTTCTAGAGCATCAATGTATCAAGTTTCATTGAAATGGAATAATTAGTACATGTGATAGTGTAAAAGCTGAAAATTGGCTAATTATGAACACATTATTACCCAAAATTAATTAGGTCTCTAAATTGTTCTAGAGCATCTATGTACCAAGTTTTATTGAAAAGTAATGAAGTAATACATATAATTATGCAAATTAGGTAATTAATATTTCACGTATCTGTCTGTGCATTGTCCTATGTATCTTTTTACGTTTCATTCAAATGTGATGACTAGTACCTGAGATATCAGTGGAAAAGACGAAATATTGACTGTTCATTATGCAAATTAGGTTAATTATATGCATGGATTTTTACCCAAAACTAATCAAATATGTACATTAGTCTAGAGCATCTATGTAACAAGTTTCATCAAAATCCAACAAATGGCTCTTTAGATATCAGTGGAACAGTTATGGAACAGCTAATTATCATGCAAATTAGTAATTAATTTGCATAGTTTCAACCAAAACCTAATCAAATGCATCATAAATAAGCATCTATGCACCAAGTTTCATTAAAAACCAATATACGGTTACGAGATATCAGTGGAACAGACTCGCGCACGCGCGCACACACACACACGCACACACGCACACACACACACACACGCACGCACACGCACACGCACACGCACACGCACACGCACACGCACACGCACACGCACACGCACACGCACACGCACACGCACACGCAGACAGGGTAACTGCAAAGACTCCCATTGTGTGCCTTGCACACGGGAGTCAAAATTAAGGGTATCCCTGGTACAAACTGTTTCAGTGTTGCTAAAATAACTTAAATAGTTATCATTTGG